TATAAGAGACAGCCTCCGCGCGGTTCGACTTTATGTTTAATACATGCCTTTTCATCTATAATTCACGCTGCTCTGACTCCAGCCCTGTCTCGGCTCCCATTTACGCCTGCACACCTTTCTCCTTCCCCTTCCCGAAGGGTCAGCCGAGATACTTGCTGAGGAGGGAGGGAGCTGCTCTGCTGGTTTGGGTTTTGTCTGCTTAAACATTGAACTGGAAAACATCCCTCTCTGTGGTTTGATAATAATAAAAGTGATCATTTCGCCTTCCCCGTAAATGACACAGGTAGATTATCCAGCTAGCCACAAAGAAGCTTCACCAGCCTGGAAGACAGTGTAATAATAAAATGCCAATGTATTACGATACGAGTGACCTGAGAAGTGTGACAAGAAGATGATTATAGTGCATTATATATAGTGCATTATATGTAGTGCCTTTTTCAACGTTTCCTGAAGCATGAATGAACCTTCATTTGGCTGCGCTTTTATTGCTTGCTTTTCTCAGCTTGAACTTGCAAGCTGTATGACACAGTACCTATCCAATTTAGTATGCCCAGGTACATGGCCACCCTGGCTGCTGTTTCTGGTTAAGCCTTTCAAATACATGTGCATACAAAAACAAACAACAACAAAAAAAACACCCCTAAAGATAACATCAGCATTTGACTTTTTCTGTACACGGTACTATAGATAATTTACACATTTTCAGTTGACAGCATTGGCCAGCTGAAGATGCGAGTTCCTACCTTGAAGATTTTACATTTTCAGTTGCAGGCTCCTACCTTTAGTCTCCCATATGCATCTGCACATACGACACACCGTTAACTGATGGTGGAAACTGCTTGTATCTGTCAGAGGTCAGTAATTTGCATGGCTTGGTATTCTGTGGTACATGCTAATAAATGTCCATATCTTTGCTAGTCATATGGATGCAGGCACTGTATGTGAATGCTGTACGTCCTGTAATCCCATGATGTGTAAAGATTAAACACACTTAGTTCTGCTGTGCTTTGTATTTGTGTCCAAAAGACTCCTGTTACAGATACACACAGAAAAAAAATTGATCCTGGTTTTGATGACATCAAGTAGTGGTAGCAAACGGAACTGAATCTAATAATAGTTTAAGAAAATGTTCATTATGTAATACTGAAAGGATGACTAGAGCCCCAGCATTGAAAGTCAAACAAGTGACATGAAGGAGCAACCTCACTGCCAAACCACTTAGGAAAAGAACTCTGTGAATGAATTAAGTACGCATTTCTTTCGTCTTTTAAAATACAAAGCAGAACAGCCATTAATAAAGAAGATAATTAGAACTACTAGCATTCTGTATAATGCAGTCTGCCTCTGAAATACAGCATGTTTATGTATGCGTTAATAATGCACACATTTTTCCTGACACTAGTCATATCACAGCAGTATGGCAATACAGACGTTTTATAGCCTCGTTCTGGTAACATCACAGGCATATAACATTCTTATTCTAATCACACCATAGTCATTTCAATGTCACATTGTAGTCACATCACATAGCCTGGTAATAATTATTTAACTTTATTGCTAAGCTGAATAGTTTTCTGTTTGCTCAGGGATGACTTTAACTTGTAGTCAGAACTGATTAGCACATACTCATAAATGAGCTTTTCTCATGTACACAGGTTTAGCCTCATGAAAAGTTAGGAAGAGAAAAAAAAATTCAATGAACTTGTGGCTGTTGGATTTAAACTCAGTATGGTCACAAGTCACAATAATAACATATTTTTGCTGTTTTCTGAAGATTAGAAAGCAAAATATGTTTATGTGCAGATTTGTCATGTTTGCATGCTTGCTTTAAAATGATGTAGTGCTTTAACTAATCATACATTATTGACCTCATGTGAAAGGAGGGTGTTTGGATCATAATATTTGCACAACAGCTTGTAAAACTGAGGCCCAGAGTGCCAAAGGGGCACTAATAATGGGAGAAAATTAATAGAAAGGGCTGAGTTCCTGAGCAGGAGTTGGAATCGCCCAGTGCAGCATTACACTGCCCCTGAAATGTGAGGAAATGCTCGGAAACTTTTCCCATGTTCACTTGAGTAGCCATGTTTTATCCTCCAGTAAATGTTTATTTGCTCACTCTTATATTTGAGAAAACTGCAGTATTTGATGTTATGCTCTGCTCAAATGCAGCTGTGTACCATCATTTACACTGTTCCTTAATAGTCTCCTTTCTTTACCGTGATCTATTAGGCTTCTGTCTGCATATAAGAACACTGGACTCCTAATCACATCATAACTATTAAAATGACTTCTGTATTACGGCATATTAACTATTCATCCACATCATTGCTTGTTATCTTCGCCTCCATATTAATATGTATCAAATTCTTTTCCATATCATATTTGACTCAGATTCTAGCATGCTAGAAACTGACTCCAATTATTCAGTACTAGCTATAGTCAAATTGCACTAAATGGGATTGCTTACATTGTATCATACCAGCTACAGGCTCACACAATACATTATACATGAAACTGATTCACATTTTGCTTAGCTAACTAAAGACTTTAATCTTGAAGTGTTGAGCATAAAATGCTATCATTCTTCACTGAACTGGCTCTGGTCACTTGATCATTTTGTACCTGGGATTGCCTCTTACAGGCTGTTATTATTAAGGCAAAATGGCTTTTCCTCTCCTGCAGTTCTACCACTTTCTATGGAGAACTGATTCATATGCTAATGAATGAGCTCTTTTACTTCATGCTATCGCACTGCAACACTGGAACCTGACCTATGGTGCACCTATAGCATGTCCCCTTCAGTCCAGCATAGTGAAAAAATGCATTATAAACATTCCCTTGTGTGTTGAAATGGCAGGTTACATGCTAGCTATGTAGCAATCCTTAATATTATCCCTGGAGGCCTTGTTTCTTAAATGTTGCTTAAATCTTTAGCAAATACAGCCTTGGTCCCTTCTCCAATACAAAATATTCAAAGCCAAATTGCTGGTTCTGATGAGATCTTTCAGGGTGTTCCTGATGTTGTTTGTCCCCAGAAAGAGAAGTTTGGAGCTCAGCGGGGGCGAGTGAGAAGTGAGGACTCCCCCTGTTATGGATAGTATTTAATCCATGAAGTAGTCCCCCTCCACAGGGCAGACATTTGCTCTGCTCAAACTAGCGCTGGCGTTGCTCTATCCTTGACTCGGGCTTCTGCCACAATTCAGCGGGAACCTCAGGAAATCCGCTTCTTACAAGAAGTACTGGGCCAAAAAGTGATGCTTATAATTTGCTGTGCTTCTAACCCCCAAAACTTCAGGGAGTCTATGAAGACAAGAGACATGAATGCCACAAAGGTGGGAGCAGCATGCAGAGAGGATTGTGGAGCCTGTGGTTTTTGCATGTCCTTACAAGCATGTTTCTCCTTATAACCATGCTGCTTTTGTCCAGACTTTATACACCTAATGGTTTGGATTTCAGGAGCTTGCTTCAGAGTTTCCTTCTCTTCTTGGGTGTAAGGATTGGACTCTTTATTTACATGAGTAGTTCAAATGAATTCAATAAAAATACTTCGGGTATTGTAAACCATACATAACTACAGCATTTGAAAAAGCCAGGTAATTGAATTATAAATTATATTTAATACACTATGTTTCATAATTTCAAAATAGTTTTAATTGTTTTTCAGAATGGTTGTGAGCGCTCTAGGAAAGGAAAAACACTTAAGCAAACAGTCCAGGACTACATATTAATCTGTACTCTTAAATAAATAGCAACAGCTAAGTCAGTTAATGATGAATAATTTAAGCCAATCGAACTGCTGAGATGGGGGAATAGTTGCAGAATTGGGCCCTTTTAATGTGTCTTTCTTCAGGAAAATAAACTCAGACCCTGGATAATCAAATCACAAAAGGGGCAGGTGACGACCTTCATTCCATTTGAATGGCAGAATTAAATTTAACTGAATTTGCCATTTTTTTTTTTTTTGACTGACAAAGATTGCAAATGTCAGTTCATGGCTCTGAAGGGTCTACAAATGCACAAGCTGAAAAATGGCATTTTGCAGTGCCAGTGCTTAATCCCTGTCACTGTAGAATACAGCAAGGTGCCGAACTCCCATTAATTATTGCTGTTTATTTAAAGGTACATATTAATGTACAGACCTGAGTTGTTTGCTTAAAAGTGTGGGTTGTTTTTTTTTTTTCTCCCTCACAGGGCTTTAGTAACTATTTAGTAAAACAATAAAAATCAATGTGGATATGGCAAAAAGAGAATAGTAAACATGTGTCATTTAAAATACAATTATTGGACCACTTAAATGAGATGTAATTGTATGTGGCACAAAAAGAAAAAAATGTCTTATTCTTTGCTACCCTCATGTTATTTACTAGCGGATGAAGTAGCTGATGAATCAGAATATAGGATCAGATTCCAACCCGTATGCTTTTGTGTAAGGTGAAAATATTCCAAGACCTGCAAATAACCTGATGTCTTACTGATGCTTTATTGTTTAAAAACGGTAGAAGGAAAAAGACAGGAAAAGAACAGAAGTCTAAAGGTTTTCAGACAAAACAGTGTCTGGAAAAAGCTTTACTAAAGCATTTTCATTTCCATCAAAACAGTAATGTAAATCTGATTGATGGAGTTATGCTGATACGATGTTGACAGGATCAGAATGAGACCCAAAGCATGGAATGAGACGTCCTTCAGGCATTTACTTTGTTTTTCTGCTTTCAACTTCTGACCTGCTCCTTGCTTGCACAGAAAATAGAAAATGCTCAATTTAAATCAATATATATACTCACACTAACTTGCATTAGTGAGACTGACATCTTTACATCTAGGTTTGAACCTAAATATCTTCTGTTTTTTAGTCCTACTCTGATGTCAGTCATGCCTCGCCATTTACAAAAGGTTACTAAGGTAGTGAAGCTTGATTAAACTCTATGTCCTCTGGGGAAAGAAATACTCGTTTGACATAGACATAGCTTCATTCTTTAAATTACAGATAGGCAGGCAGACAGATGACTAATTTCTGTTTAAAAGCATTGTGCTGTTATGATTGCTTCTTATTTATAACAGTTCTACTTTTCTTAACATTCTGGTTAAACAAAGGGATCTATGGTTTTGAGGTTTTATATTTTGGGGTGGTATGTTTTGCGTTCTGATGGTAGAAATATTGCAAGAGCTACACCCTTTTGTTGAGCAGATTATGCCAATCTATTTACCATGCATATACACTGAAGGGAAGAGCATAGATTTCTCCACCGCGTTGCTTTTCCATGCCCCAGTGGCATGGCTGTGATTCTCAAAGAACCTTTGGGTTTTGGGACTTGAGAGCCATAAAAGAGAAGGTGTGTCTTCCTCCTGCGGGTGGCAATACCCCAACTCTGTACATGCCACCATGCTCTGGGGAAGTACTTTGATATAATTTTGTCCTTCTGGAGGCTAATTCGTCTCAGAGCTCCTCTTGATGTGGAAGCCAGAATTCTGCAGAGTCCCCATGCAGAGCTGAGCCCAAAAGAAACGATTAAGCCAAATAAAATTACTCGCATTAAAACAATGGGGGAAAATTACAGGCCTGTGTTTGGTATGCATTCAGGGAATAGGAAATGTCACCAAATATCTTTGCATTCATTTACATTCTGTTCAATATCCTAAAAATATTTACATTCCAGACAAGAAGAAAAAAATCTGAATGACCATAATTTGACTTCTTCATAGATTTTCACTATTCCATTCAGTGACTTTATTGGCCAGGTTCCTTAAGAGGCAGAAGCTCCTTGATGCCTTAAAGTAAATAATGTGTTATCATGTATGTGTTAAGTTATAATGTAAGAAAAGTAAAAATATACAGCTAATGGGGTACTTTCTCTTCATGGGAACTTACTGGGCATTCATAGTCAGAAAATAGTTTAGGGGAAGAATGAGACTCCGTTTCATTGGTTTTCCTTTTTTACTACTAATAAATCACTGTTTCTGCCTCCCATGTTGACAAGCAGCAGATGTTTCAACGCAAACTCCATCAAAGTTAGTCATTTTGTCCTCTTCCTTATCAACGTTTCTGTCACTCTGAGGACGACATGCCTTAGGAAATAAGTAAGCACCTATCTATAGGAGCATCACTCAGTCATGCTTAGACAATTATCACAGCAAAACACACCTCAGACTGATCAATAATTGCTTTCCTTGTCAAATTTCTGGATGTCACAAGCAACTCCAAAGAGAGGGATCAGACCAGAGCAAAGCCTTGTCTAGACAGGTAGATTAGATTGCTTTTAGTCCTAGCAGCGTCAGGAGGGTGCCGCAGGGGTCCACAGCAAAGACTAACAAGGCACCCATCTCCCTCTGCCCAGCAACTGGGCTTGGGCAGACTCAGGCTGCATGAGCAAGGAAAATCCTCCCTCCCAGGGAGGACACCTTAGAATCAGAAAACGTAATATTAGGAATCGCTTGGAAGTGCCATATTTTTTTCCTGGCAAAGTTTGTTCTGACATATGCCAGAAAGTTGTTATTTTCAGATGGATTTACAGGGATCAGTACTTAGATTCCCTTTCATATCTCTGTCTTTCCCCTTTATCTTTTTAAAGCTTGGATAGACTGAGGGCCTTCTGGCTGATTAGCTTCCCTCCATGCTTGCAAACCTCAGGCCTGTGATGAGGAGAGAATACTTGTTCCCAAGATATGATATCTTGGAAAAGAGTAAGTCAAATTTATTCAGAGTCCTATTTAGACATTCTTTTCCTGTACAGTATATAACTGTTTGTCACTGAAGACAGTAAATTTGTTCAATAAAAAAAGAAACCTACAGATTTTCTTAGACAGAAAGCACAGATGAAATGTATGTGATGCTGGAAGAAGACACATGAAGGCATAATAGAAAAATGATGTTTATCTCATTTCTGTAATTGGGAAGTCTTTTACTTTCAGGTATTACAAAGTATGTCACTCACTGTAGAACCAGATCCACCCTGCCTATGCTATTATCATACCAGTGAGGAGTAATAATTACAAAGCGCTTTTTTTTTTCCCACTGCTGCACTGCTGTCAATCCATCAAAACACCTGTGCAATTTAGTAAACTTCGTATACTGAACAGCACTCAATTTCAAAGGTGAACTTCAGCTATTGCTTGGTTTACATTACTGTTCAGCTGATTCTTGACTGAGAAATGTAGGGAATCTTATTGAAGAGGATTTTTTTCTTATAGCGTGAGTGCCAGAGGACTTCAGGATATACAGTGAGAGTAGTCAGCTGTATTCAGCAAATATGCTTTTCATTACTGACAGAAATAAGAATTTTTTTAATCTGGAAACTATGAAATTCTTATTAACATGATTACATTTAAGTGAATGAAAAGACTGTCTCTCTAGCCCTAGAGATACATATTTTTACAGATGGTGTAGCAGGAATCTTTCTCTGTACACATACCTATGCTACTACGGCAGAATCAGTGGAGTTGTGAGCCTTCAATTTTCTTCCCTATTAAGTATTAGGTCTTGAATCCAAGTCCTTGAATGTGAGTGAAAATCTCCATTCTGTTGATAAAAGTGTTTGTTACCCCACTTTGGTCTGTGATGGGTTAGTGCTTTATACTTTATGGAACAACTACCCAGGTATTCCTTAGCCAGCCCCATCCATCACTTGGAAGAATTTATTGTAAAATACTATAAGGTAAAAGTCAAAGCTTTTGCCAAAGCTTGGCATTCTTTGGCAGTGACACATCTATGGCTAAAGAGTAATCTATCTTTCTTTTCTTTCTTTCTTTCTTTCTTTCTTTCTTTCTTTCTTTCTTTCTTTCTTTCTTTCTTTCTTTCTTTCTTTCTTTCTTTCTTTCTTTCTTTCTTTCTTTCTTTCCTTTCTTTCCTTTCTTTCTTTCTGGTATAAGCTTCCAATTAGTTTCAGTTTTCCTAAAAGGGGGAGTGGGGAACCGGGGACTATTGATCTTCAATCAAAAATGTTCTCACAAACTTGGAATTCATTTGGAGTCAGGACCTGCATGTCTTAGTAGTATTAAGAAGAAGTAATGTTGAAAACCCAGCTCCTCCCCACAAAATACAGACATGAGGCTCATTTTCATAATTCTCTCTGGAATTGTATGAAGTTAGCATTGCAAATGATTATGTCAGTGTTCCCACATATCCTAAGGCAGCTCTGATTTAAAGTATACTGTCACAAATTCTGTTCTCATTAACACTGATACTGCTTGTTCTGATGTGAAGTAGATCTTGCACTATACTGTAAGCCCACTGAGAAGATACATGGTTAAAAAACCCCAAAACCTCAAAAAACAGATCAAAAAAGATCTAAAGTGTTCTAAAGTAAGTTATGGACAGAATATAGGTATCTGCCTTGTAATGCAAACCTGAAAGTCTGAAGTTAAATGTCATCAAACTGGAGGAAGTTTCTCCACACCTTGCTTGTGTAGTTAACATTTCTGAGAAGCTGACCTTGTACTTTTGTGGCTGTCCAAAAGCCTCTTAGTCTTGGCCTGTATGAACAACGCATATCTCGAGCCCTATCAGGATCTACAAAGACTATTTTTGTCTTCTCACTGGATAATACAGTACACGCCTACAAAATCCAGCTTTTTGTAAAACATTGCATCTTCTTTTACGTTATTTTTAAGCAAAACCATGAAATTTGTGTTTAAATGATTTTAAAATTCCTTTAGCCCAGAAGGTGTTTACTCAATTTTTGTCTTTATAGTCTCTAAATCACAACTTCTAATGAACATCTTAACTTTATCTCTTGATGATGCTGTTCACTTTTATAATATGGTTAAAGCCTGACCGGGACAGATTCTCTGTGTGTGTATACTGACTCCAAAGCATAGTGGGTAAGACTAAAGGAGATCCTTGTCTTGCATTCCCTACTCAATGAACTGTGTGCATCCCTTGCATAAAACAGTCACTGAAGAAAATCCTGCATAGTCAGTAAACCTGACCCTCCACAAATAACCAGCAATTTGCAGGTCAAGATACTCTGCTAATGAAAGGGTGGTGCATGCTTGAATCACACAGGACAGAGGAAAACACCTATTGGCTCTTCTGCTTCCTCAGAGAACTGTCATGAATTTCCAGCCTGTGATTCAAATGCTCTTGGTGGTTCATTTACCACTTGTAAGAGCTCTGTAACAGGTAACTGAAAAGCATTCCTACTAGCAGTTACCTTCAGTTTCCTAAACAGGGCTCTCATGTTCTTTAAGAGAATATGTAGGAAGATGCAAATTGAAAAGTTGTTCAAAATATTGCTGCAACATATACAGCTACATGATCTAAATGTGCATGTGGGCAAATCTCCATGGTAGTTGCAGTTCCTTCTTCTCTGACTGGTTTAAAGGAAAGAGTGGCCTCTCATTCATTTTTGAAGGAGAGCACTTTGGAATTTTTCACTCTTCCCATGTGTTCTAGAGGCAACCAAGGTACCGCTGTGGGGGATAGACAACTTGAGCATGGACATTTTGACCATTGAATGGCTTTCTGGATCTCAACCTAACTTAATTTACTAGCTCAAGTCCCATTAAAATTACCCATTTTTCCGAAATTTTATCTCTTGTGAACTATGTTATATGGAGTCACAAGGGGAGTTTCTGGATTTTTTTTATCAGAGAAATATCAGAGAATGTCTTCATTATGCTGCCTAAAAAAAAAATAAAAATCAGAATTAGAGTGTAATTAATCCTCCTTGAAGACATTTACATCTAAATAGCAGTAACTGATCTAATGAACTCAAATTTACTGTGCTACAATGAATGTAGATCATGGAACAAAGAATAGTTGAAAAAAAAAAAAGATTAATATTTATACACTGTCATTTTTAAACAAAGTCATCTAGAATAATTAAGTATGTGTGTGTATGTTAGAAGGAGTTTCAGTAATTAGGAAGCATTCCTATGATATATTTTATAGCTTAGGATGCAATTAAAACTATTTTAATTATATTTTAAAGAGCAGTCCTTACCGTTGAAAGAAAATGACAAGATTTTTGTTTAGTTTTATAGATAAATATAGAAGTTCTTCTTGTTTTCACTGAAACTGCTGAAGTCTTGGCCACTGACGTCAAGAGAGAAGGCTTAAGCTCAAACAATACTTGTCAAATGTATTGCGTTCAATTTACAGCCATTTCTTAAAAATGCCTGCACATCTTCTAAACACAGTAAACAGTGTCATCTAGAGGATATTTTTAAGTACTGCATGTCATCTTCAATACAAAATTTTGATAAGCAAAGTGAAAGCGTGAAGCTAGACAGTTGCCATAGTAATTATCTTTTTTATTAAAAAAAAAAAAAAAAGAAAAAAGTATTATTGGATACTCTGTGCTGTCGGGACACCAGAAAGCCTAATACACTGTCACAACAAAATACATAGATGCCTTAAAGCTGTTCATTTGATTGCAGGCATTTAAAGAAATCAAGCTAATATCCACTATTAATATGAATCCTTGGTTTAGTTCAATTAAGGTGACAAAATATTATGTAAAATTGTCATAACTGAAAATAAGGGAATAATTTGTAATATCATGACCAGTGCGTATTTTTAAAATTGTCTTTAGTTATTTGTGCTTAATATAATGTAATTCAAATTTCACTAAGAAATTTATAAAAAAATATTTTAAAAGCCTAATTAAAAACATAAAATAAAAATTGCTAATTCATCAAAGAATAGTGTGAGACCTATAGTAGGAAAATATCTCTTTGACAGGGCTTGAGAGGCATGTTTGTGAATGCCATCTTACACAGACAACTTGACATTACTAAGAGGTTTCTATTTCCAACCTTAGATGCAGGGAGCGGGAACAATTAACAAAACCTCATTCCATCAACAAGTGATGAGTTATACAAGTCTTCCTTTCCCTCTTTTTATAATTTAGTTTGCCATATCAGACCTTATTTTTTTTATTAAAAAACCACAAAAAACAAAACAACCCCAAAAAACAACTAACAAAAAAAACAAACAAAAAATCCTGTATGTTAATAACAAAATTATAGGAAAAGTGTTATTGTTCGCCTTAACTAAAGTTCCATTTTTTTCTTTCTAGACCACAATAATTTTTCACATCCTGCAACTCTCTGTTATCCCTTCTTTGCCAAAGAAGGACTTACAAATTTCATGTGCTATCCCACTCTTGCTTGTCACAGTTTCATATTATTTTGCAAGAATTTAAATATTTAAGGCTGTGTCTAATTTCAGTCATGGGTCAGGCAAGAGTGCAATTCTGTATAGAACTTGAGTGCAATGGGTCCATTAGGATGTAACTTAATATCTGTTTTACAAATGAGCTGAATTAAAAACATACCATTGCTTAATGAGGCTATAATGTTAATTAAATGAATTAAAAACTGTAATATGAAATAAAATCAAACCAGACAGTTGCATGATATGGGAATTTAATTATAACAAAGTTTCAGTAAAGCTGTCAAGTTAACTAGTTACAGATAAAATCTTTGACAGGATAATACTGGCTAAAAAGCAATTTTATTTTTATAATTCTGTTATAATTAAACTGACCATTCATTTTGAAAGTTGACATCGCTTGCATTCCACAATAAGCTTATATTTATATGGCTACACATTATGGGAGTAATGATAGTATTAGAATGGTGGCTGAGGTGATTAAAAACACTACTGCATCCAGTGCATTATTGCCTGACAAGAAAAGGTGAAACATTTGCAGGAATGAGGCTAGAGGAAGGACGATGCCTATCAGATGACCCTTTTCCTACTCTAGTGACTGTCATAAAGTTTGATGACAAGGATGATAGGACCATAATCATCTTTGTGATCAAATAACAGTAGTAACAGTAATTAAAAAAATAAAAAATGCTATTTCAAACCTATTCTTGC